CCCGCTGCCAGCAAGTCCGAGGGGACGAGGCCCCAGTCCTGCTGGCCACACTAGTGCTGACACAAGGCAGGGTGCTGGTGGCCTTCTTGCCCCTCAAGTTCCCCAAATCAAGGCTGTCTTCTGCTTGTGGCCATAACCCGTGAGGATCCCTCCCTGTCCTTTATCTCAGCCCTCAAGCCCTGTGTGGTGCCAGCAGAGGAGGGGCAGGAGTGGCTCCGTGGGGCTCTGCTGTGGGGGCTCAAACCAGGACACGTGCAGACAAATGCAAAGCAGCATCACGTCTGTGGAACCTCTGTCATGATTCATCCAACTCAGTCAGCAGCAGAAGCACCAAGACAAAAATAGAGCCTGTTATGCACGTTTATACATACAGCCCTGCCCCTGATGATCACGAGGTTTTCTGGATGGGAATGTTTACTGAAGCCTGCAGCCAAGGGGATACACTGCTGTGATTAGGATTACCTTAAAAAAATTAAATTAAGAAGTATAAACTGACACCACACATGAAGTTCCAAGTGAATTTGGGCCCCAGCTGCAATAGAAAGCACACCAGAGGTATACAGGCCTTTAAATATCTCTGAATGTGTTATAGTATCTGGGAGAGAGGAAAATTTTGCAGCTACTTGGCTAGCAAGGTTCTGTGCCAAGGAAGAGAGAAGAAGTAGAAGCCTTTCCAACCTCCCACCGTTGCCAAGGAGTTCACACTGTGCTTCTGTGTGTGGCCCAAGGGGAAGTGCAGACAAGTGCTCTCCGTCACAAAGAGCACTGGAGTTCCAGTGAGGAGGGTAACAAAAGCAAAATCCAGGGTTTTCCTTGCCAATAAAGTGTATTTGTATGGTGTAACCCAAATTGACAACGACATAATGTGCTTTTTCTCCAGAAAAGGTGTCCTGGTTAGAAGGCAGAATTGTGTCCCACCTCCCTTATCCCTCAGTTTCCCAGGTAGAGAGGTAAATAAAGGAAGAAAGGGGCAATGAAAACCTTGCCCCAAATTGAAAATTAACAAAATGAAATATATTATTTAACAGGGAACAGAAAGGAAGAAGGGAAGGGGTTGAACAGGGTAAAGGGATTATAGGAACAACAAAGCAAGGAAGATTAAACTTCCAAATATACAAAACCCAAATGCTGTGCTGAGGCTCCCCAGTGCTGGATCTCGCTGGATTGAGGTGGATTGAAGCTGGATGCACAATCCTTGGACGTGGATGGAGGCAGGGAAGAGTCTGTAGATCAGGCCCAGGTCTCCAAGATGGCCAAGGCCACGTGCAGCACAGGGAACCACAAGCAGCAGCAGCAGCAGCGTGTCCCCACCGGACCCCAGCAGAGGGGAAGAGGAAAAGGGAAGAAGAGAGGTGTGTCTGCTCCCCCCTTTTATAGAGCCCAGCAGGAAGTCCTGAGGACAGGAGGAGGGCAGTGGGAATAGACCAGGCATACACCCCTTTCATTCAGGCTGGCTCCTGGTTTTATATTTCATATCTCCTCCTACCAGGAGCAGCAGGTTTCAAACCATTACATAATGTAAAACTAAAAACAAAGTTGTAGCTGATGAAAAAAAACAAAAAAAAAACCAAAAAAAAAACCAACTGGAAATTAACTCATAAAAAGAGCAAACCACTTTCTGCTCCTGGAAGGTGGACTTGGAAGAGCTGGTTTGTCACTCGAGTCCCCACTAGGCACTTGATGACAGCTCCTCGTTTAGTTCCAGAAGCCGTTGGTCCCCGTTAGCTTTGGCATTTTCTACAAGCACCTGCAAAGAAAAGGCAACAATAGAAAACTGAGAATTTAGCATTGTACTATCAGTACCTTACCATCCACCTCAGATGCACTTTAATTTCTGCTGTGCAGGTTCCCCTAAAAGATCAGGTAACCCACAAGCCCAGGTAGGAAACATTCCCTGCCACAGATCAGCTGGCTAAAGACACCCAGGCCCTTCAGCCCCCCTGCAGGGACTTGCAGTCAGACTGAGTGTGACAAGTAAAGCACCTGCTGGCAACAAAAGGAGCAGAGCTAGAGGAGACCTGTCTCCCTGCTGACACACACTGGGCTCCAGCTAGCACCTTGGTATAAACCTGAATTTGCCAAGCTGGAGCATTTTTTGAAGCTATTTAAATGAAAGTGCCAGGGTATCCTTTGGCCTCCTCCCATTTAAATTCTCCCTTCTTTGATTTATTTGCCATACCTCCTGTCTGTGGGTTTTCTAGTAGTTAAAAAAGCTCCACGACAACCTCATGGTCACAGATGTTCCTAAGATCCTGACACTTCTGCTGTGATCCAATCACATTATACATATTAAAATGAAAACCATGAAGTGGAACCAAGCAGGTCTTCACTCCAGCCAGTACTGACATCGTACTAACGGGCAGGGAGTGCTGATGACTCTGCAGAAGCAAATGCACTGAGAACACACCATGACCATCCACACTCATTAATCACAGAATCCTAGAATGGTCTGGGCTGGAAGGAACCTTAAAGATACATCTCCTGCTAGACCTGGTTGCTGAAAGCCCCATCCAGCCTGGCCTTGAACAGATCCACTGATGGAGCACCCACAGCTTCCCTGGGCAGCCTGGGCCAGGGTCACACCACCCTTAACAGTGAAGAACTTCCTAATTTATAATCTATAGTCTCTCCTTTTCCAGTCTGAAGCCATTAGCCCTCGTGCTAGCACTACAAGCCCTTGCAAAAACCCTCCCCAGCTTTTCTGTAGGCCTCCTTCAGATACTGGAAGGCTGCAATGAGGTCTCCCCAGAGACTTCTCGAGGCTGAACAACCCCCACTCTCTCGGCCTGTCCTCACAGCTGAGGGGTTCCAGCCTTCTGATCACCTTTGTGCCCTTCTCTGGACCTCTGACTCCAAGAGGCCCACATCTAACACTTGCTGTGTTATGAACCCATGTGTGTGTGTGGATTTCATCAATGCTGGGCCTACCTGATGTGTGGTGCTTTGTTTTGGGAAAGAGAGCTCACTGTGCCAGTGGCAGCAGGGAGGAGATGATTATGAGTGTGTTCTGTGTTTGAGGAGCAAAGTGATTCCAACTACAAGCCAAAATGAACCACCCCTCCATGTCATCACATGGAAGAGCTGTGTGGATTTGTGAGTCTGACCAAACCTGCCAACAGGTTCTGTCAACAGAAACTGAGGTACCACTGTGTACTGAAAATAATCTAACATTACAGATACAGTAAAAGTCTTAAGTACAGAAAGTACAGCACTCCACTGTTCAGGTATTTTGGGTCAGGGATACCAACACACTGATCCAGCCAGGCTACAGGGAATAAACATTTTTACTGCATTAATATGTTCTGGTAAAATCTCAGAACAAGGAATTTTAAGTGGTCCTCACTCCTACTAGAATCATAGAATCCTTTAGGTTGGAGGGGACCTTCAAGATCATCAAGTCCAACCATGGAGCCATGAGGGCTCTAAAGTCCTCTGCCAAAACAGATCAGAATCTGTCAGGGCTGGAAGGGACCACAAGGATCCCCCAGTTCCAACCCCTCTGCCATGAGCAGGGACACCTCCCACTAGATCAGGCTGCCCAGAGCCTCCTCCAGCCTGGCCTTAAAGACCCCCAGGGATGGGGCCTCAACCACCTCCCTGGGCAACCCATCCCAGGGTCTCACCACTCTCCTGGGGAAGAACTTCTTCCTCACATCCAGCCTGAATCTGCCCACTGCCAGCTTTGCCCCATTCCCTCTAGTTCTGTTGTTACTTGAAATCCTAAAAAGTCCCTCCCCAGCTTTCCTGTAGCCCCCCTAAGATACTGGAAGGCCACAATAAGGTCACTAGTAGAATTCTTGTCACTTTGGATTAGAGATTTCACTGTTCTGTTTTTCCTTAGACTTGCATGGAGGAATGGAAGACTTTCAAACCAACTGGATGCCACTCTGCAAACCGAGGTACATTTTGTCAGCATAGGATCCCTAAATACCAGCACCCCCTGGCCTCCCCCTGCCCCACGTCCAAGCTGCAAGCACAACACCCAGCACAAGCAGACTGAGTTTCTGTATAAAATGGAGTCTTACATCTATCAGCTCATGGTCATCTTTGGCATAGAGGTGCTGCAGGAGGTACCAGCGTGCCACGGACGCGATGGTCTCTGGGCTCCCAGGCTGGTAGACCACTCTCTCCAACATCCGACGGGTGTCCCTGGAAGGCAACCAGAGCTCAGTGTGAGCCCCATGCAGATGGTCAGGCTGTGCAGAACACAGCAGGGGCTTTATTTCATCAGATCATTAAGGGTGGAAAAGACCTCCAAGGTCATCAAACCCAAACGTCAACCCAGCACTCCCATAACCACTGAACCATGTCCCCAAGTGCCACATCCAACATGTTTTTTGTTGAGCTGGAGGAGAGAAGCCTCAGAGGGGATCTGAGCAGTGCTGAGCAAGAGCTAAAGGGCCCCGGGGGGCAAGAGGCTGGGGCCAGACTCTGCTCAGTGGTGCCCAGGGACAGGACAAGGGGCAACGGGCACCAACTGGAACCCAGGAGGTGCCACCTGAGCAGGAGGAGAAACTTCTCTGCTGGGAGGGTGCAGAGCCTGGAGCAGCTGCCCAGAGAGGCTGTGGAGTCTCCTGCTCTGGAGAGATCCCAAACCCTCCTGGCTGTGACCCTGGGCACCCTGCTGTGGGTGAGCTGCTGGAGCAGGGGGGTGGATGGGATGATCTCCAGAGATCACTTCCAAACCCCAGCATTCTGAAAGTTTGTGAAGTAACTTTTCAGCACAGTTTTGTTATAACCAGCCACCATCACAATCACATTAGGCTGTCTGTCACCTTCTTAAAAGCCCACAAAGAAACTAATCGAAGCTTGTGAGAATTATCTATGAAAACAGATGAAATTACTGAACAAAACCATCACTAAGATTCTAATTTTCCATTGGTTGAACAAAAATACTGTAAAAGACAAACTAGACTAAATAACAAAACTCTAAAGTACAAGGCTTCCAAGTCCCCTCCCAGAAATCTTCCTCAAAAAGCCATGATGAGCATTTCACTGTTTGGGAATGAATATGACCTTTGACCATGAGCCCAGCTCAGCACCAGCTGAATCCAGACAGAGTAGTGGTATCTATTTCCACTGTGTCATTTAACAAGGTTTTTTGAGAATGTATAGTCTTCCTGAGTAATTTCTTTAGGTAACATTTTATTTTACTAAAAGGTTTTGTACATCTGTTTTTCTCTTGTTCTGAAGGCCATGTATGTCTTTTTTTTTTTGAGAAAAGGAGGAAACATTCTGCTGCTTCCTGCTCCCCACTATGCTAATCCTTGCCCCCAGCTCCCTTTTAACTGCCATACTACCTCAATTAATTCCTGTTTTCAATTTTCTTTTAGTCCTCAGGGTTAGATCTGGGGCTAAATGACCACCTGGGGCTATTCTGCACAGATCCTGAGTACCTGGCACCCATCTTGCGATGGTACTGTGCAAGTGCTTGTAGGAGAGCTGCCACAGGGCAAGGAGAAAGCTTCAGAGCTTCAGTTGTTGCTTCCTGAACCAAGGATGGCCAGTGCTCATCTGAAACATTAGCCTGTGGAGACAAAAAAGAAAGAAAGAAAAAAGGAAAAGTCTTTATTGTACTGTATTGTGTAAATCAGTTTGTTCACAGCCTTCTAGAGAGCAAGTTTAATTCAAGCTACTCTGAGTTAAAGTATTTGGAAGGTTAGAAAGAGATTTCTTAAAACCAGTTGTTAGAAGAGCCTGGAAAAGTCTTGCTAAACATTCTCAGACCTGCCTTGCCAGCCTTCCACTGGCTTCTTTATGCAAAGAATCTTTAATTTTTTGCACACGTGTTTTAGGAGTGCTTGTTTTAATCACAAACTTTTGTTTGCTCTTCAGATGGTAAATTTTCATCCCATGTACAAGAGTATTCTAGAACACAGAACTCATCCCCAGAAGTAATATCATATTTTACCAGAAGTAAAAAACAACTCCAAGATGGTAATTACCTAATAGAGCAACTACTGAACAAATCCCTGTACCTTTTAGCTTAAGAAAAATCTTATTATCCCCACTGTGTCCAGAGAGCATTCAAATTATTGTACTTGAAGGGGTGCCCAAGTTTTCATTTGGACAGATAACTAAGAGACAAGCAATTTCCAAACACAGAGCTTTTTTTGGATCTGAGCAAGGTTTTCACCAGGCTTTTGCACATTTCATTAAGCCACTGCAAATTAGAGAGGCTGAAGAGAAATACACTGATCAGCTGCTCTGCTCATGAAAAAAGTAGACAAGATAATCAAACTCATAGTAATTACATTTTTAGAGAAAGTCTTGTATACTCTCAGGCAATTCAGGCCAGGACTTGAGATAACATTAATTAAGTCAGAAGGTACCTAGCAACCTGTGGAGACATTTAGGAGTGATAACAGGCAGCAGAACACTGGAAAATGAACAGAAGAATCAAGGGAGAAAAAACATCCCATCACTTCACAAATCATGCCTCAGAACCACAGGGCTTCTGAGAAAGAAACATGTCTACACTGAGGGGGATTCTCTTTTCCTACCAGGAGCAACAGCTTTCCAGCTTTATCCTCAGTAAAACTGGCTGCCTTTCCTTTTGTAAGGACTCAGGATGTTTGGGGTTCCTTTGCCTGATTATGGCTGTTAGTGCAATCGTTTGTTAAAACACATGAAAAAAGCATTAGCCAAGATCACAGCAATATCAGTTTTGCACCAGGCTTTAGAGTCTGGTAGCACACTTCAAGTTTCTAGAGCAACAATGCTGAAAGAACACAGACACTTGCCAAGGGTCTGAGTTATGTTCACCTGGCCCCTCGCTGCAAGGAGCAGAGTAATTTTCTTTACACCACAAGGTATGCTTCCCTTGGATTGTTTTATACTTCAAGGCAAGGCACCATGTCTAGAAATAACCATACAGCATAAAGTTACTTGAATCCTGACTGAAACCTCCAGGCACCAGTGCAGGAAAAACGTTTATTAAGGCAGTGGGGTGAACAAGAAGACAGAGACCTGAAGGATACGTCAGTGTGGGAGACAGAACCAAATCTGTTATCAAAGAAATAAGTCTTTTTGAACAAGTTAGCATCTTCTGTACACAGTGGTTCTAGGTGATTATTCCACAGCAGCCTCTCCTACAACCAGACATTCTATAACATCTCTTGCAGTCACATTTTATTCTCTAGCTGTCATTGATGAAATGCAAAGTTGTTTGAGCAGGGGCTTCCTTTAAAGGCTGGGGATGTCCCACACCCCTGAACTCCTGTTAACTCGTGCAGTTGTGTAATTTTGGGGGTCCTACCATGAAGACCTCCAGCGCCAGCATGGCGAGCCTGAGCAGGCTGGACAGCTTCCCACTCCAGCTGCCCTGCTGTGATGCCAGCTGCAGACTCTTCCTGTAACACATCTCGGCTCCAACCATCATCCTTTGAGACTGATACACTTTCGCCAGCCACTGAAAATAAACAGTCAGCAAAATCAGTGAGGGACCCACCAAAGCAGACACCCACGAGGCAAGAGTTCAGCTTGGGACCAGAACCACAGCACGTTGCCAGCTCCAGCACCCCTGCCCAGCCCTAGCTCCAGCACCACCCTGCTCACACCCTCTGCAGGAGCAGCCCGTCTCCTGCAGAGCACAGGGAGGTCTCCTCACTCCAATAACCTGTTTTGGAGTGCCCCTGACCACCTGCCCACAGAGAACTGTTCCACAGCTGTCTGAGCCTGGAGACTGCTCACAGGGGATTAAACTGCACCGCTGGCTTTGCGACAGTCCCCCTCCAGGCGAGCAGAGCATCCTGCAGTGCCTCCTTTCTCTCTGAAAAGGTAACTTCTCCTCTGGAACTAAGGTCTTTCCAGCCTGTGGGAGTAGTGCCAGGAATGTCACAGACATGCAAGTGTGAGCCTGGGCTGAGAGGATGGGTTGTGCCACACAGTTTCTGACCCAGCAGGAGCTAGGTGGGGCTCAGGCAGACACTGAGACCTGCGCAGAGACGGGCGCTCCTGCGGCGTGCTGTGCCAGCACAGGATGTCCTGGGTTTGAGCAGGATGAGAAGGAAAAGAATCCTAACTCCTCTCTCTCAGTCCCTGTAGTCACGTCACTTGTTTTTTTGAAGCAGACAGCCACACATTTGCCAGCCCCTGACATGTGCATGATATGCTTCAAGATGCAAAAGCTGTATTTAGAAATACTCTTTGCTGGATCACCAAGCAAAGCAATCTCTCACAAAAAACCAAACCAAAACAAACAAACCCTTCCTTTTATGCAAAGGTCCCTAGATTTTTCCTAGCTAAAACTGACTGGTGTTAGAAAAGGAAAAATTCTTAACCCTTTCTGAATGCACAGCAGTTATTTATCCTCAAGAGGAGGCAAGCTAGAAACTATTTATGACCACTAGTGAGATTGTGCATCCTCCACATCGAGCTGCAGGACTGCTCTGTAAATCAAAACATCCCTTCATGTGCAGAAAAATAAATACTTCCTTGGCCTCAGTTCTTTGCAGCTGATGATTTCTAGCACTCAGGATGCAGAGGGGAGACAAGAGGAGCCCCTTGCAAAGGCACAGTGGCAGCTCTGCCTGATCAGCTTTTCCCTTTTTTTCCTGGCAAGGCACAGCACAAAAAGCAGAACAGTTGTTCAGCACTGTTCCTAAATCCTGCAAAACAGCCATTTAGACAAAAGCCAAAAACTTAAGCAGAGAGCAAAGTTAATGGCTCTCTAACTTAGTAAAACTCCAAGGCACCATGATGGATACTTCTGAGTAAGACAAAACATTTATCAAGCAGTGAGGATGTCTAGAGACAGAAAACATAAAAGCCTAAATAGGCCCATTAGGAACAGATGTAGGAGCCAGGCTTTTTCAGAATGCTATCCAAGCCCTGAGAAATATCTTCTTTAATTGAATACTAAAAGATTTTCCTTACAGGTATCTCATCTGTGGCCTGGATTAAAAGAACCAAACCAAAACAAACCCCTTCCCTCCCCCCAGATCACATACACTTACTCTGTCTGCTTGTAAGCAAGATGACAGACACTTGGCTGTGCAAAGGGTGTATCTAAGCCCTAATTCCATTTTCAAAATATATAAATAAAACATAGGCTACAATCATGTCCTGCATGCTTCTGTATTTATTTGCCCAACAGGCAGAGGGAGCACCATAAATCCTGCCACTACATGAAGGACTCTGAAGCCTCACAGATTTTTCTAAACAACCTGCTGCTAACATTGGTAAAGGAAGACAGTAACTGCAATGAACAGCAATGGTTAGGAAATAAATAAGTGTGCTGCTTCATCACAAAGATCTCCTGGCAGACGTGAGACACTTCTCAGACTGTCTCACAGCAGCAGTGGATGAAGCGAGTTATGGCACCTTCCCATTAGCTAAAAATGATCCCTGGGGATGCCATGGAAGGCAGTGAGTGAGCAGTTACTGGGGCTGATTTCTCTTCCCTGCAGACAACTTACTCAAAACAACATGAGGAGTCAATGCAGAAAGAGACCAAGTCAGATTTTCAGACCTCAGATAAGGAGTTGTATATTACTACATGAGGACACCATTTATTTCCACCTCTTCTTGTGGGTTATGAGGTATTTCACTGGTTTGTGCTCACACACCAAATCACAAGTCCCTAAAGACACACGTGCCAGGGGTTCATTTTGAGTTTTTAATTCTCCTGCCCCTGTGTCTGCTTGCTCTCACTACCAGGATTATTTCAGCTATGACAGAAAGTTAACATAATGCTACAGCTTCACCGTGGACTGAATACAAGCTGGTTTTTCCTGTCGCTGGACAAATAAAAGCCAGCAGAGAAAGAACCCCTCACCCACTCGTGGAGCATGCTTGCAGAGCGTGGCCCACTGGAGCCCTGGGGAGGAGCCCACTCACCTGCCAGGCTGCCACAGAGGTGGCACTGCTCACCACTGCCTTGCGCAGCTCCTCCAGGACGCTGCCCGGCAGCTCCTGGTGCGACTGCAGCAGCTGCTCACACTGGACTTGTCTCAAGAGCAGGAACAGAGATGGGCTCCCAGGGCAGCTTTTTAAACCCTACAACCAAAACAAGGCACAACGTGATGTGTGTACTTTCCCAAGATCAGAAGACACTTTGGTTTTCCCATGGTGGTTGTTAAAGAAAACAGCAGTGAAAGGACTCTCTGGATGCTTGCAAGGGGTTTTCCTCCTACTCTGCACAGAGGACTGTTCCAGCAATTGTCACATGAAAACAAGGTTTTTTCTGTCCTCAAAATATATTTGAAAGTTTTCTTACATATTGTACATGTCTCTTAAATTTTTTATATGCTCTATCCTTAGAGGTTTCTGAAAGTTAGGCAGGTTAATCTAAGTCAGCTTAGACAAGTAAATTTTTTAAGTCAGCTGGCCAGAAAAAGAAAACACCTCCCCACCAAGTGAACAAAGAGGCCAGAAAGTACCTGGCCCCTAAAAATCCAGCACATTCAAGGAATCTGTTTGCTTTGGAGGTCTTCTTCAGTGTGGTGGGTGTTTTTGTTTTATTAAAAAAAGGCAAATTCTGTTCATACAGAAATGACATAAGCAAGGAGCATGCTTGGATGGCATCAGTCATCTCCCTTACAAAAATCAGGGATGTGTGCTGCTAAGTCAAATCTTTTTTTGCTTCTCTTTTGCCAAGTCTTCTCTTCACCACCACATGAAACACATACTTGAGGCCTGTTAACACCCCAGTCCCCTTTCCCAGCTGTGCTGCCTCAAGACTTTTCTTTTTAGTAGTTTGACTCGTAGCATCCACCTGTGGCTCTGAGATGGAGCACCAGCACAACAGAGCAGAAGGCATTTAAGTCCCCTGCGAGTCTCCTTACCTGATTCCTTGCCTTGAACTCCTGCAATGTTTTAGTGCTGAGTTATTCCTGCTAGGCTGATGAATAAAGGCAGGAAGGGCAGACTCAGCTTTACCATGCCATACACTGCTGGTTTCAACATTAACACCATTTTTCTGTTACAAACAGAGTAAGTATCTTGGGGAAGGGAGGGAATGCCAACGACTAAAGCATCTTGTAGCTCTGATGGAACAGACAGTTGCCAACTGAAGATTATCTTTTTGTAAAAGACACACAAATCATGACTTCTACACAATTCTACTACAATCTGCCAGCATGATGCCATCATACCTTGTTGCAAAGAGCTTCAGCTTCTGAGAATTTACCAGTCTCCTGCAGACTGGTAATAGCTTGGCACAGACACCAGTCCTCAAGCGCCCGGATATAGCTATGTGGAAGGTTCCTGTCTCCAGCTGCAAAACCAGATAAAACACTTAACCAGACTGCTGTACATGCTGCAGTGCCATATTGTGCCACTTGTTCTAGAACTGGTGAGGGAGAACTTTTGGGAGTAGCAACCTGACATGGTTTCTATCACTGCTAGGAACATTACAAGAGAATAAAATTAAAAGCAAGAAGAGGGGAAAAAGAGAATACACCATTTGAGTTAATGGTTTGAGAACAATCAATCAAGCATGGAATGTTAATTCCAGTTTTCAAAAAACTAGAGATGCTGATGTTATCCCTTGACTAGAAAGGTTACACAACTCCAGAGTACTTTATCCTTTTCTTGGAAGCTCTGTTCCGTTGCTGTAATACACCCATCCACCCATACAGGCATCAGAGTTTGGAAAGACTATTTTTGAAAAGTTCTGGGGGCTTTGGAGGTGAAAGCAAACTGCAATTAAGTAATTAACAACACCTGTGCATCAGGCTTCAGCATTTTTATGCGACAAAATACAGTGACAGCCCAAGCCACTCCTGAGCAATTCTCAGCTTATTTGCAAGTTTCTGAAATTCAGAGAAGTACTGCCAGCTAAGAGTATTTCAATTTCATTTTAGTTTTTTAAGCTAGAAAACTCATAAAGCTTACTTTTTGCTGAAACTGTAGATACAAGTGTCATCTCTAGACCCGTTCTCTTTGGCTCAGTGTTGTTCAGACTGGCAACGGTGTTTTCAGCATGACAGGCTGCCATTAGCACTGCCCAGGCAGCAGGATTATCTAGGAAAGAATGGTTAAAGGCAATCTGTGACCATTCTAAATATGCTGGTATTTCATTCAGAATGGTCTTTACCAGATTAAGCATAAAAGCAGTGGAACCACATGTATAAATAAGAGAGCAAGAACATGGCAAGCAGTTCATTCACACCCTTCCATCAGCTCAGACCAAGGCAACTAAAAACTATTTGCCTCTAACTAGTAAGATTCTTCAAGTTATAAGACAAAGATGCTGTCTCTATATCTAATACATTTTTCATGCAGCCACTGGTGTGCCAACTGAAGTTGCCAGTTTAATTCTGACTACACAGATTAGATTTGACTATCAGGGCTGCACAACAGAGGCAGCAAAAATCCCACAATAGCATCCAGAGCTTTCACTCCTACAGGTCAGTCCTGTCAGGAAGTTATCGTGGTAGGTACCTACTTCTAGTGGCTCCTAACTCCACTGTCAGCTCTGCCCTGACCCACACCCATGCACAGCAGCCACCATGGGGAAAAGTGGTCTCCTCCCACCTCAACAGAGCTCAAGTAAACATTTCACCCATGTAAATCATAGCAACTTTACTGCAAAAGAAACAATATGTTGGTGTTTCACTATCAAGTACAAGTTAGCACTTGAAAACCCCACTAGATTGTTCCTTCTGACATTTAATGGAGATCACCATCCAGCAACAAAACAGTTGCCCATGGTTCATAACCAGCATATCGCAACAGAACATTTCCAATCCAAATTCTTGAGATAGGTGAATAAATCTCTTCTGCTTGGTGTAGCATACTGATTACAAGGCAACACATTTCTTTTTTTTTTGCCTACTATACTCAACAATACTTATTTCTTCTACTGCTGAGGGATTAACAAATTTGCTATGTTTTCAGAACACCCTTAAAACTCAGTAGTTTTCTTTTCCTCTTGTCTGGTTAAATTCCTCATATCTAAACTTGGAATGACACAATAAAATTTCAGACATTCTCCCCAAAACATACATGGATAACCCAAAACAACCCATGAAGAGCAGATTGTTTTTGTTGTTGTTAGCACAATGATTCTGTTTCTGATGGGTAAGGAAAAAAACCCAAATGCTACTGTGTTGAGAAGAAGAGTAACCTGGAGAGAGATGAATTGCTTTCTGAATATTTTTCAGAGGATTGTTCTTCTTATCTTCTAACATGTGACATCCTGCTGCCAACTGATTAACAGCAATATTCACCAGGGCTTCCTACAAAACAGAGCATAAAAGTGACTTAACGTTATAGTACAAGTGATCAGGTGGAATTAATTTTAGAATTGTTTATGGAATTATAAAGTCTGCATTTTAAAAAAGCCAAACCTTCCTATGCTTTACATCAAGCACATGGGCGATGTTTCCTGCCACAACTCCACCCTGCAAGATTAAGAGAATTGATTTGGTTATATGACTAATTAATTAAAAGATTTTATACGAAATGTAATGCCAAGATGTTTTTACCTTTGTGGATCAAACACAAAGTTTGCACAATGAGATCTTTCCCTTGCCTACAGCATGATCTCAAAGACACAGGAAGAGACATTCAGGTTTAGAGTTTATCTACACATTGTGCTTCTAACTTCACCCCATGTAGAAGGGTGTTTGTTTTCAGGTGCTACTTCTGTTTACATAAATTAAGAAAAAGATATTTATTTGGAGAAAAGCTAACAGTAAGTATAAAAGCAGCAAGGAAATACTGGCTAATGGGAAAAGTAGAATTGACTAGATTAACCAAACTCAGCATATGTAAATCTTAATATATATTTATACACACACATATATACAAAATTAAACAAAGAACATATACATAGTACAGCTTTTTCTTATTGGAATTCTTTTAGCTGTTTTTCCCTGCAAGGTTGTTTCAAGATGATAAAGAATGGCTATGCCATGAAAGATGCAAATAATTGGACATGTAATTGCAGCATGTACCTGTGCACTGCTCTGTACATCCCTGTGCATGCAAGCCTTATGTTTTCACATCAGATAGTGAATGTCCCTGCACTGAAGGGTGGGGCTCTTTCAGTTAAGAAACAACACAAACTACTCAGGATATAAAATACACAGACTTACTACAGCAACTCACTTACTTTTGCCTTTTGTGTTGCATACAGTGGAACTACTCGAGACAGAAGAAACCAGAGGGCAGTATTGTCAGGGTTACTGGGGAAAGAGGAAGGGTATTAGAGTTTCTGGTTTAGATATGGAGCTGGTGTTCCACAACTTGATAGAAAGTTGCTGTAAATTCCAAATGGATCTTTTCCTATTATGAAAACACTACAGTGTGGTTGAAAATAGACATGGCTACTCATTTAGAACAAACAATATTCTATTGCTGGCTAAAGAAATAAAATTAACAATGTGAGTATCAATAAAATACCAAATCATGCAAAGAAATTAAATAACCCTGAGGACTACCGGTCTTGTCCCCACAATGTGAAGAACAAGGGATTTTAATTGCATGTGGAGAAAATCAATTTGCTTAAAGAATCATGTTGAAAACACTTGGAGAGACTATGAGGTGTGTCATGCTTTAAAGGCACTGACTAAAGTTCCCCCTTTCTAGAACACTGTTAACCAAAACACATTCAAACACAGGTATTCAGCCAACAGAATTAAGACCTTCAGAGGCTGTTAAATATCAAATACAAGACCTAGAGACTTTTCTAGGTTGAAGGTTCTGCTATATATCATGAAATTGCTGTTGCAGAAAGTAAACTGATTTAGCTACCAAAGAAGCCAACAAAACAAAACAGGGAGACCCCAAACAAGCCATGAAACTGCTGCCATTTGATCAGGAAGCAAGGTTCTGTCAGCTGATGCTACAGCCTTGAGTGAGGACGTTTGAAAAACAGTTGTTTTTTTTAATTTTATTTAGAAGAATGCTGTAAGCAAACAGAGGTTTGTTTATTATTCAAGAAAATTGAAGTAATACATTTACAAGGCAACCCAAAGAAATACAAAATACCTGTGTATTGCTTTGCAGAGCGCTCTCTGGACTGCCACACTTCTGCCTTGCAATGTGTGAACAGCAGATGTGATAAGGCACCTCTCATAAATGTCTTCCTGTTTTTCATGCTTCTGGAATTCTTTCAGGGCTGCTGTTGCGAGGGTAGCGTCCTGCTTCACCAGCCCAAGTGTGCACAAAGCCTTCAGGCTTTCTATACTGGGTTCCTTTAGTGAGCTGTGGAATCAGGAGGGAAGGAGACGCTGTTTTGGAGCATGAATTAAACTTAATTTAACATTAAGAGTGCTTGTTACTGCTGAGCCCTCTTGCTCCTGAAGATCATGTATAGTGCACTGAATTAACAGCCTTTCACTGTGGGATAGTGGATGAAGATCCACCAGTGTCCTTGAGGTCTCCAGATGTGGAAAGCAGCATTGGTTGTGTGGCATTTCAGCTGGTAACAGGTAACGAGCTGGCAAGGCTCTGACACAGGAACTGTCCTTTGGTGGCAGCCACAACATGCATGGCAAGAGACAACGTGTAACACTGACAGCTACTGTCTTTCCTTGAAGACATCTGTATTTCTAACCAGTACCAAACCTGAGCTGGAGCATGCCTGCTTTACAGCTTTGCCACAGAAACCCAGGAAGGAAGAAGTCAGAAAAGCCTGCTGCATAGCACTGCTCTGAGAACAGAAAATTCCAAAAAATGTTCCAAAAACTGTGAAACTTGTTTATGTCAAGATCTGAGAAATGCAAGGTGTTCTGAGCATGCTTTCCATCATCTGCTAGTTTTAGTACCACTCTCCAGTGTGCAGTTCCAGCTGTTTTACAGTGAGGCACAGTTTTGCCTCACCGTGTTCCAAGCTTTACTGGAGACTTAAAAGAGACAGCCACTGATTTTTATCAGCATTTTTTTCTAGTGTAAGTAACTCTTAATTCCCTGACCTTCAACTCCAGTGAAAACCAACAGTGAGCTCAGTACAAACAACCAAACCCAAAGACCTTAACTGAGGTAACTAACAGAAGCTGTTCTTACAATAAAAGCAATTCAATAAATTGCAATTCAAATGGAAGAGAGTCAAATAAGAGTAATTTGGGGATACCTCACTGTGATGTCCTAAACATAACCACAGAATGAAGTGCTGCTTTCTTTCACTGATCAGGTGACTGTAGGATACTAATCAAGCTTCTAATGGTTATTTTTGCCTTCAGAAAAAGACAAGAGTGTAAAGTTCCAAATCTAGCTTTTGCTTTTTTCTGTAGCAAGAAAAATTTCTAAGAGCTGTTAAAGATAAACTTGAGCAGCCAGCACTATGTTACCTGGTGCAAAGGTGTTGCCAACAAGTGGAATTCTGACATATTAGCTATAAAGACAGACTCCCTGCTAGACATGTGTCGAGCTCTGGCCATGAGGAAAGAAGAAAGGCAGCTTCTTGTCCAAGGTCCTACTCAGGCCCTTTAAATCATCTACCATGAACTCCAGTCAATAAAGAAATCTGTCTGTTGGAGTAGAATGCACCATTTTTGTTCTTATTACCAAAATCCACCACATACCTTTGCAGCACTGACCTTATAAAGTGCTGGGGTTTAGGCCTCCAGCCCTGGATAAGGGTGGGCATGTGGATGATGAACCCAACCAGCCAAGAAGGACCCTCCTGACTGGTTTTCATATAGTGTGGCCAGCTCTGGATGGGAACTGATGAGGAGATCCCCACCAGGTGCCCCCACCTTCCATATTAACTTGGAGGTGGGGCAAGAAGCCACCTCCATAAGAGCTGGCCCTGCCTGCAGGGGAGTTGGGAGGTCTGCTCACACAGTGCCTGTGCTGTGTGAGGGTTCTGGCTGTTGAAGGGCTCCCTGACTCCCCACAGCAAGTGGAGTTCCCAGGAACAGTGGGACAAGATTGAGACAGGAAAGGAATTATGAGGCTTTCTCCTGGCAGTTCCTGTGTGATTGGGACTGGACTGAGCACCTGGATCCTTCCTTCCTTCCCCCATGGCCTGGATCTGGAACCAACACACTCCCTCTTAGGTATGTCATGTACCATCAGTGAACACATCAGTCTGTTCATTCCTCCACTGCTGGGACACCTTGGATCTCTTCCATATGATCCAAGACCAGAGGGAGGGATCTTGCTCATGTGCTGTCTGTTAATGATAATACCCTTCCTAGTTTGGCAAGTGGTCAGCAGAAGAGCTTCCAATTAAGTTCTAAATATTTTCAGTCTAATGTTACTTTCCTAAACTTTTTTCTTTAAACACAAACAACTAACATAACCTAAAGAATTCTCACTTGTGTGTGACAAGAATGGAACTCTGCAGTGATTAACAGGATGTATGAAATACCTGGTTCCTAGCTAATCATGAGCTGCTTAGGATTTACAGTGTTCTAGGTCATAGACCTCCAGTTTTTCACTAACTTCAGGACTCTGCTGGCAAGACATGGGCTTTACTGCCACTACTCCAGTTCTCTGTTGACACAGAGTTGATCCTGAGAAGCCAAGATGGCTTTTAGCTTCTGCAACTATGTAAAAAAGAGACATTAATGACTTAACAACTGATACAGATCTGTTTCTTCTCCTGGAGAAGCTACAAGATTGTTCTTGTCTACGACACTTGGAAAACAATTGTTCTGGAGATTTGTGACTGCTTAAACTGGAATTGTTTACATTAGTCATTTAGATTTCTTACAGCTGAAGAGTAAAAAATATTGCCTAGTGCTCAGGACAACTATAGATGAATATTATCTTAAAAGACAAACCTATTACAACTACCACTTAAGGATATTAGAATTGAAACCATCCAGCCCACTCATCTTACCACTTCACACTGCTTTGGGAATATGAACATATGCCACAAAACAAAGCATCTAAATGGCATAAATAAGCTTAAAAGAACACTGCATCTTCTCCCATTTATACTGTGTAACACAAGAAGGAAATACCTACCTGAGATCTCAAAAAAAGAGTCAATTTCAGGATAGATCACTACAGGAAAACATCATATACTGAGTGTTACTCCCCCCACTCACCATTTAAACAGCAGTGTCTTTGCAGCATCCACTTTGTTCTGTTTATACTCTATTATTGCCAAGGCAGTCAGGATATGTGATTTATCTTCTTCAGACTCAGCAACAGACAAGGCTTTTTCATAGGCTGGTAAAAATTCAAGACTCAGAATTGAAATAGGATAAAAAAAAATGCAACATTTATGACATGTCTAGAAAGGCAAGATATGAGAACATGCACACAGGTACACCCTGGTTTCAGGTTCACTGTTATTTTCACATCTCAAATCACAAGCAGAAGACAAACCTGAGCAAGACTCTGGAAGTAACTGTACATTAGGAAATAGCAGATTTCAGGGAACTACTGGAGAGTGGAGGCTCTGAAGATGATGCTGAGGGTCCTGGAGCATCTCTGTGCCAGGCCAGGCTGAGAGCCCTGGGGCTGCTGAGCTGGGGAAGAGAAGCCTCAGAGGGGATCTGAGCAGTGCTGAGCAAGAGCTAAAGGGCCCCGGGGGGCAAGAGGCTGGGGCCAGACTCTGCTCAGTGGTGCCCAGGGACAGGACAAGGGGCAACGGGCACCAACTGGAACCCAGGAGGTGCCACCTGAGCAGGAGGAGAAACTTCTCTGCTGGGAGGGTGCAGAGCCTGGAGCAGCTGCCCAGAGAGGCTGTGGAGTCTCCTGCTCTGGAGAGATCCCAAACCCTCCTGGCTGTGACCCTGGGCACCCTGCTGTGGGTGAGCTGCTGGAGCAGGGGGGTGGAGGAGATGATCTCCAGAGGCCCCTTCCAACCCCACCATGCTGGGACTCTGTGAATTACAGTGCTGTTTAAAGCCTGGGAGTTGTTTAGTATGTAGCAAGTAGAAACCAAAAAGCATTATTGAAACAGCCAGAGGAAGAATACAGTATAAATCCTACCCTCTGACAGGTTATTTATGAAATAGTACTTCAGATGGGCACACATCACTCCAATTAAATATCAGGAGATTTAAAACGATGAGCTGGCTGCTCCTTTGTGAGCACTTACACTTCTACACTGATAATTCTGTACACCTTTTGGTGAAGTCTCACACCTTAGCAGTGCAGAACAGCTACAGAACTAAAGTGAACAACAAATTTATCCTCTACCCAGAGCTGATTTTTCCAGGAAAGCCATTTCATTTGAGAGCAAGGGAAGTGAAGAGCTTAATGGACAAGAATTAAACACTTGAAGAAATTTAGCTTCTCCTTGTACATATGTTGCTGAACAGCCTAAGATTAAAGTAGTTGTGGAATTTGTACCTGCTAATTAGCACTGAAAGAGTGAAATAAACTGAACTACAGGTAGGTCTGTCAGACAAGCACTTTGTTAAGATTAGTCTCAAAAGAAGTGTCTCATCATGCTTTGAATTAGGCAGATGCTTACCTTCAGTACTTTCTTTGAAGAGGCCTTTCTTGAAGTAGGCTAATGCCAGCCCCAGGATGCCATGAAACTCCAGGAGAGGTGTTGATGTGTAAACCTCAATGGCCTTATCATACTGACCAATGGCACTGTCAAAACAAAACCAGACACAGGCATCAAGGATGCAGCAACAGGTGCTGTGACCCAGGCAAGCTGTCCTTGCAGAACAGCATCTCCTTCCCCACAGCAGTTGTTAATCAGAAACCTGGGAAAGAGCAAGACTAGGAGAAGAACATGCAGAATTTCCCACCCTCCTCCTGTTACAGCTGTTAAAACTACCTGCTGTATGAAGAATAAATGTTACAAAAAAGTCCTCCCTGTCTGTGTGACAGCTACATGTACAGATGTCACTTAATGGTCAGCACAATAGAGTGGGAGAAAATATCAAAGAACAAACATGAAAAAAAGCAAATTTAAATCCATATGCACACAGACAGGTGTGCAAGTGCAAGCACAGAGAGAAATGCAGCATTTCTAAGGCCACTGTGGAAGAAATTACACAGGGCTGCATTTATTAGAACTAGTTATTAGTGACTGGAGCTTTGCTCTTGTGTAAGCTGCACACGAGTATCACCACACATACAGCCTGGATGTGAGACTGCAGGAAGCTGAAGAGTTCCTTCCAAAATCTTCCCTGAAGTTCAAGGATGAATTATCACATTATCACACCCTAGAAGTTCCAGTGTCAGTCATGTTCAGAAGCTTAAGAATATATGAATTTTCCCTAGAGAGCTGACAAACATCTGATTAGCAGAGCCTGAGCTATCTCATATTACAGAGAGGTTTGGCACTTTCCATCTGGTAAGAGCTGCATCCCGTGTTCCCTGAGAAACACAAGGGAATTGTGAAGGGAACCTGAGCAGAACTGCAGCAGGAAGACCAAACACATGCACAGGACAACCCAAACCCATAGGCTTCAGGTTGTACAAGTCAACACAACTTCACAGGGCACATAGAAGGGATTTTGAATAAACCTTGAAGCAACTACTTTATTCAGACGAAGACCATCATGTTCTTTCAGGTGCAGAGATAAAAAAACCCCACAATTTATTCTAGAGAACATGAAACAGCTACATTAAGTGCCTTAACATGGTCTACACAAGTATCAAACTAAGGATAAGGGAATCATTGATATGTTAGAAACTGTGAGGCCAGGGCAATTCCTTGCCATCTTTTTTTTTCTGTTAAATAAACTGCCTATTTCTGGAGTACATACACAGTTCAGTCAAATATTGTCTACAATAAAGAATGACATGCAACAGATAATTTTCAGCAACCACCTCTCAGCTTCTCACATGTTTTGTGACACTGCATTTGCTGCTTGTGAAGGTGAAGTTATGGGCTGGGAAAATACATCACCAAACACTCACCACAGTGACCTGCCATAGTTTTGCATTGCTGTGTTGTATTTCTCAGTATCCCCAGAGTTTTTCAGCAATGAAGCTGCCCTGAAAATAACCACAGTTAAGAATAAATACCATCTGACTACAACACACATGTTTTGACAACAGTTCTCAGAGCAGAATGGTCAAATGTTTCATGCAGAAGATTTTCTATGCCAATTAAGAGCAAAGAGAGCTTCTTTTACAGTTTTAACCCATCAGCAAACATGTTCACCAAGCTCAGTTTCCTTTGCCACCTCCCTCTACTATTTGAAAAGAAGTAAAAAGGAAAAAAAAACAAAAAGCCCAAGCACCTCCCTTAATTAGAACGGGATAGAGACTAAACTGAAACCAAGTTAACCAAAATTTCACTTAAATCCCACACAGGGAATTATCTGAATGTCCTGGTAAGACACACAAGGCTTGGAATGCTTTTACTTCTCCATTTCCATGCTCTGCATTTCCAAATATGATTTAAGAACACCCCAACACCTACCCATACAGCACAGTTGGTTGGAATTTACTGCAGGGTGTGCTAAAGGAAAATAAAGCCCTGTGAGTCTCTCAGCTGGTGCACAGCTAGAGGCCCAGGTGCTTCTACCAGTAAAGTTTTCAGGGTGTGTCATTTACCTCTCATAGGCTTCTGCTGCCTGCCTTTTTAGGTGCAGATAATCATACAGGTAACCAAGCATGGTGAAAACACAGGCATCCTCTCCATCTCTCTCTAGAAAAAGCAGAATTGACAATACAGGAGGAAACAATCAGAAAGAGCTGTGAAAAAGCACTTCAAAACCACTGCCACAGTGTATGCACACACACAAAGCACTCTGCCAAGTGCTTCTGTCAGTTGCTCACTGGAATTACTTTGACAGGCTGCAGGCAAATACAGAAGAGATACAAAGACACACAACATGACATCAGGAGAGCACAAAAAATGTTTAAAATCTTACAACACAGCATTAGTGTGCTAATGTATTTTGAGTTTTTCAGCCCATGGTGTTTTGTTTTGTTTTTCCTAATGAAATGGGAAACTACTCAGCTTGTACTGACTCTAGTGAAATCTTATTGTTTATCTTAAATACTACAATTTTTAAATGCTTATTGGTAGCCAAGGCATGGAGTTGTCATCTCACCTCAGATTTCTAACCTTTTTTCCCCAGACCAGGAGAATCATGCAGGCCCCTCCTGGAGTCCATTTAAGAGCAGGGATTGCACAGCCACACAAATATGGTCTCACTTTCATCTGAATTTTAAATGCTTGCACCTGATTTTGTAGCTCTCAAAAATCAGGAACAGATAACTCAAGATTTATTTACAGGAAGAGATGCAGATTAAAAGAAGCAAGGTATTTAAGTCACCTACCTATGTATTTGGCCAAGACCCCCTGGGCTGCTGGAATAGCATTCATCTGGGTGATGTTGTACTGGTACAGCTCAGTGTTCCTGTTGCTTTTATCCTGCAGGGTTGAACATACCCAGTGGGCATAGCCTTTTGCTCCCTCAGCCTCAAGAAACAAACAGAAAGAACCCAAAATAGGAGTTATTAAACTTGCTCAAGCAATACTGAGAGAAGTAAAGGTTATAATAACAATTTTGTGTTTTAAGGCAGAGTCCTGGCTAAAAACCTGCATGGGTGTTAAGCAGGAAAAGAAAATATCAAACTGGATTACTCTGCACAGAGCTTTAACTTGTCCTTTGGGCAAAGAGAATTCTTACATTAATGTGTCACTTGCTTCACCACTGGAGGGAGGACAGAAGAAAAAGAGCTCCAGAAGAATGAAAAGTCCTCCACTTTCTTAGAACTGAGGGTACTGGCAATATCTTTGCTCTCCCCTGGAACACTTATAATTCACCCCTTTGATCCCTGTCCAGTTCTGCAGAACACCAAGGAGGTTTTTTCATGACTCAGAGAGTCAATTTCTTGGACCACTGGGAGTAAAGCATTTAATAAAATAACTGCCTGCTACTCAATGCCAGCACAGGCCAGGAACAACAACCTGGAAATCAGACAATCTCACGTGGAACACGACTGTAACTGTCCCACCAGTCAAGACATGCCTTTTTAAAAAAAATGAACCTTACATCACCTAAACAGAGAGATGAGATACACAGCAAGTTCAGGACAACACAAGTGTTACACTTACATGCATACCAAGTTCAGTGGTGTGCCTGAAGAGATCCATAGTGTCATAGCTGCCCACTGTCTCTGCAATGAGAGCCTGCAGAGAAAAGAGAGCTGCTGGGGTCAGGTTCTTAAAACATCACAACATCAACAAGAAACTGGGCACACATTACTTCAGGCACATCTTAGGCATTTAACACAGAGACACTTTCTTTCCTCATACTATCCAAGAAGTGTTGGTTTTCAGAAAAAAATGAATGCATTTAAAGGGAACAAAAGTGGTTTCTACTGTATCACTGGTACTTGAAATTCAAACTCTTCTGCTGCTACTTCACACTTCTCAGGACAAAGACTTTGTGTGTTTGCACAACCTAGGGCATCTGGCAGCAGCTGAATTTCCATGTGGTGGTAGTTGCCTCCCCTGGAACCCAGCTTCAGCTAGACATTATAAGCAGGTCAGCAGTGTGGGACTAGGCAGTGCAGCCAGAGGGATCACAGAAGTATGGCTCACAGTCACAAGTGTTTCTGCTACTCACGGGTGGCCTAGACACCAGTGGGAGCATGTCCAGCCATCAGTGGTAGGGGCAGGAAGGGACCTCCCAAGGTCTGGTGTGTTTTTTTTAAGAACTGCTTTTTATCACCTGCATTAGAGACTTACTCTTTCTGGCAGTCACATTAGAAGCAGGGTGCTGAGAAGAGAGTCAAGCAGGAACACAATGAGCTAGAGTTACAGCTGAGGCTGAAACAGCTAATGCCTTACAAATCGTGGAACCACAGAATCATTTTATTTGGAAAAGACCTTTAAGCTCCTCAAGACCAACTGTTCCCCCATCCCTGCCAGGTCCCCACTGCCCCGTGTCCCTCACCCCACATCTCCACGGCTTGGGAACCCCTCCAGGGGTGGGGACTCCACCACTGCCCTGGGCAGCCTGGCACAGCCCTGGGCAACCCTCCAGGGCAAGAAATTGTTCCTCAGGGACAACCTCAACCTCCTCTGGGGCAACTTGAGGCCCTTTCCTCTTGTCCTGTCCCTTGTTCTTTGGGAGAAGAAACCAACCACCCTCAACTCCAGGCTCCTGTCAGGAGCTGTGCAGAGCCAGAAGGTCTCCCCTGAGCCTCCTTTGCTCCAGGCTCAACAACTCTGGTGTTTTTTTGACAATGATCAATAAAAAGCTTCAGCACACAAACAACTGGTTTTTTTTTTTTTTGTTAATAGCTAGTTTCATACAGAAGTCAGAGCATTAGCCAGAAAACATTCTATAAAGATACCTGAAGACTGTAGCTCCACTCTATTACACTACAGAAACAAAGGGTCCTGACAACCCTCAGGGAAAGCAGAAGCTCCCCTTACTTGTAATTAATTTTCAGGAATGTGCCAGCTATTAGGATGGGATCTTAGGGCCTTCCCTTGACTAACAACTGGTTTTGGTGTGGAGCACTATGATTTTTTGTCATCTTACCTGCCCAATCCAACACTCTGTGTAAGAAGGATCCAGAGCCTGGGCTTTGCTGAAGGCTTCATGGGCTTGCTGCAGAACAAAAGATAACAGTGCTACTGAACTGGCCCAGCAACCAAGCACCTCTGAGGTACTGACACACAGCAGGATGGGAGGAGATTTAATGGATGAAATTAAAATTAGGCCACTATTAAAAACATCCACTGTGCCACAGAGAACAATACATCGGCCAAAGAATTAAACTTTTTTTTTTAAATAAGACTAAAGTCTTTACAAGATCAAAGTTCCAGATCACCTCCTAGAACAAACACTTTCTTACAATCCGACTCTTGAAAGATCCAGTTTTGGAGATTTGCTTTTCCTTCAAGCAAAGTGTTAAACACATTTTTCAAGATGGTAAAACTGATTACCAACCACAAAATATCTCTTCCTCATAGCAATGTTTATGTTCAGAGTTCCTCCCTCAACATGGCATAAGGTGAACAAAGTCTCAGCATAAGAGAGTCTCAGCAGTAAGCAGTATGCACTACCAAGTTACTTGTATCAAAAAAAAAACCCTGACCATCATATTTCCAACACTATTTCTGTAATTCTGACCACCAAATAGGATGGGATGTAGTTTTAACTGCAGAACGATGAACTTTGCTTGAGATGTATTCTAATTTTTCTCCAAAGAAACTCTGAAGGTTACACAAAATTTCAGTAAACATATGACATGCTTATGAGGACAAAGTAGCTGCCTACAGGAAACTCAGAACTCAACGTTCAGGTTGTGACCTGCAGCTAAAAGTTCTTGGTCAAACATGGTGTGCCCCTGTTTGACCAACCACTTCTCAGTCCTTCCAAACACTTTTCTTTCCATCTAGTTGCCTGGAAAGCAACGTTGGCAATTCAGTTCTCCTACCCTTATCACCTTCAGGACAAATAATTAATTTCTGTGCCTCAAGTGGCACTTTAGCAAGTGGCACTTTAACTTCTTTCAAAGGAAGTAACTTTATGGAATCTGACAGGGACATTCTTCACTGTTTGACCACACTCCTACCCTACATACTCCCTTATTAAAATAAATAGACAGACAGACAGACAGATAGAATGCATTTGAGGATGGAAAGAGGGGTTACCTCAATGTTTCCTGTTGTCAGATACAAAGCCCCCAAGTTGGTCCAGGCAACAACATTCTAGACAGAATAAAGTTTAAACCAATGTATTATTATCACTCAATACTATTTGAATATTATTCAATAATTTGAATATTGTTATATTCAAAAATAACACTGCATCAGGGGGAGAAAAGGTTTTAAATGCCCACTTGAAACAGATGGCAGCTGCCTATAGCACTTACGAACTGCTGAGCTTGGACAGATTTGATGAACGCATGTTGAGCAAGAGCATAATTCTCAATAGCTGGGGGGGTAAAAAAGACAAAAAGGAGAGCTAGATCTAACTGAATTTCATCAACAGCATTAGTCAAATTGCCTTCTAATTGAGGATGTTAATGGAGGTAGGGGTTTCGCTGAGGACTTACCGCTACAGGAAGCTACTACACCAAGTGCATTCCAAGAGAGGTGATTTTTGCTGTCAAGCCTCACAGCTTTTTTGATACACTGGAAGGAAATAACATATGGATGACAATCACCACAAGAATAAAAACTAAGACTTCATGCAGTTTCTTATTCAGAGGTGCAGGTTTTATTTGGGGACAGAGTATGCAGACAAGCACCAACACCAATTTATGTTTTAAAGAACGTCACAGGACAAACAGGCAATACCTGCAGAGACTTTGCCAGCAGTTCACTGATCTCATCCCTGTCACTGCCCACTGCTGTGAGGTGCTCTGCCTGTCGGTAATAATTTATTCCAAGATCACACCATGTTCCAGGCAGAGGCATCAGTTTTAAAGCTGTGCTGTAACACCTACAGAGACATGAATCACAGAAACATTATTCCGAGTTTCTCCACACGAAGAGCAGAAAGCTGAAAAAACATTCAAAAGAGTGCTTAAAAACTTAAACCAAGCAAACGTGTATAAATACAAACAAAAGCAGACAAGAATGGAAAGCAAACAACAAGTAACCAGTTCTCATTCAGATGGTTATCTTCACAGAATCTATCCTGGTCTGAAGGACATAGTGCCCACCAGTCGTAACGCCACAGATGTGCAGTAAATCAAAGCTGTGTTGGTTGCAATATGCATGTTTTTTACTTAAAAATCAGTCACTTTTACAGTTAATCAGACTTCCTCTCAGGAACTATCAGACTTCACATATCCTGGTTGAGATTTACTAGGCAGCAGCATTTCCTGCCTTTCACATCCAACTGCACCAAGCTCACAGCAAGTCACAAAAGCAGCTACAGAAATACTGCAAGTATTTTGTACCATCATGAGATTCCAGAGTGCAAAATTCCCTCTTCCAATGTACTCTAGACCCCATACCTAAGGCAAGAATTGATGAGGTTTTTGTAAGAAAGACATACAGACAGAAAGCTTAAAGCATTATCCTGAACTTCAGTACTCCTGGGAGAATTAGTTACCAGCTACTGCAAATCACTCTAATTAAAGAGGCACAATTTGTGGAATGACAGGCAGGATGCAGCCATGCTCTGGAGACATCAACAAGACGAGCAGGTGCTAGATGAAGTGCTGACAGCCACTGTGGCAATCCAGGAAACACAGCCTGAAATGAGCACTGTGATTTGGAAGAAGCATGGGACCCTATTTACCACCTCATTAATCTTTGCTCAATATGCAGGTGTCGACAGATCAGCCTGTCTTTCATTTTCTAGAAATGAAACAGTGTGGAATACTTGCGATTCTACAGAGTCTGAAGCTGCACAGAAACTCTTGATAATAAAAAATTATTACCTTCCTCCCAGCACGAGCAGCTCACTTTTCTTCAGCACCTCCTTGCCTGCATTTTTACCCAGGAGGAATCCCAAAACTTGAACGTTCACTTTGGCTGGTGAAATAACATGCACACTAGTGCAGGTATCTCCAAGCAGTTTCCACAGGCAGGAAAAATCAGGACGCTGCTTTGCTGCCCTGTAATTAACAACACAGAAAACCCACACAACACCCATGCAGACACTTCAACATCCTTTTCTGAGAGAAAGATCACCACTTTGGGAGAGTGGCACGAATTCAAGTGTTATTCATCAATGCATTGATTTTTTTTTTTTTAATTCACATTTCTTCCCCTCCAAGCTATAGGTCTGAAAAGTCAAAAATAACCAAAAAAAAGAGAAACTACAGAATGTCAATATATCCCAGCTTTGCTGGGGCTAGAGAGTGGGTTCTGAAAATCAGACATGACCTAGCACCATGTCACTGACTCCACTCACTCCTGTGTTTCAGAGACTACTGTGTTACACTGCAAGCTGTGGCTCAGCTGCACAAACCTCTTGGACCTTTTCCTGAAACAGCACCTGTGCCAAGGTTTAACTTAAGATCCTGAAGCATTTTTTTTTTTATGAAATGCAAAAGAAAAAGATTAAGGAACAACTTCCTCTCATTTACTGCTTTTGGCAGGAATCCTCCCAGCCCCATATATACAGGAGGAGTGCTGGAGAGAACTGGGTGTCAGTTCACACTTGTATTATAAACACATTACTCTGTGTCTTTAATTACAGTTTTATTTGTTCTGTTTGTTATTCATTTAGGCAACCTAAGTCCAGAATGAATTATTCAAAACATTTTCTATCAGGAAAATACTTCTGGATTAGAAGCCTGGTCCATTTGATTAACTGAAAATCCTCAAGCACTTAAATTTTACTCTTCTGCACATCAACCCACAATCCCAGTGGCAAGGAAGCAACTGAGTATTTTGTACTAACCTTGTAAAAGATTCAAGAGCCTGCTCTATGTAATCCACAGCCTTCCTGTCAGCAAAGTTTTCAAGGGCTAATCTTGCCAGCATGAGACAGCACTCACCAAGTCCTGAAATTGAGAGAAAAGACCCTTTGTGAAAAGAGAAGCTGTTATGATAGGCTGGATGAAGGACGTGGTGTGGGGCAGCAGAAGCCTGCTCAGTGCTCTCCTTCATATAAAGATTTACACCTGGCACAGGTTATGCCAAAATCAAAGACCTACAGTGTTCACAACAGAGACTTTGCTTTTAACTTACCCTGTCAAGTTTGACCTGTAGAATAATGTATTAAAATAAACCTAATTAATTATAAAAAAACCCCACATTGTTTAAGCTCTGTGCTTGCCCTCAAATATCAAGTAAAACCCCCATGAGAAATCTGCTCTGTTTTGGTTAGTCTTTGACAAATCACCAACTTTCAGCTCACACAAGTCAAAAAATCATTGCCAAAATAAAAAAAGAAGATATCAAGGCAGGCAACAGGGGATGTCTTCTTTGAAGAAGACTTGAAACCAACATTATTTAATCCTGTTTATGTAAGAATTTACTTCATATGGTTGTACTGGGTCTGGCTGGGATGGAATTAGCTTCCACACAGCAGCATTCACAGTGCTGTGATATGCACTGGTAGCTACAAAGGTGTTGATGACACACCAGAGTTTTGGCTACTGCTGAGCAGAGCTCCACAGCATCAAAAGGGGAAAAACAAACAAACAAACAAACAAACAAAAAAAACAAGGAGGAAAAAAGAACAGTTCTTTTCTCAATGCTCCTCCCTCATCCAGTAGGCTGGGAAGGTCTGGCAAGAGGCATAGCCAGGACAGCTGACCAAAGGAATATTCCACACCGTATAAATTCTCAGCATTAAAAGCTAGAAGAGAGGAGGAGGAGGAGGAGGAAAATGAGGAGGAGGAGGAGGCATTCCTTATTATGATCTGGAGAAAATCCTATGTGTACTGAGGCCCTGATTCCTGGGAAATGGCTGGACAACACCTGCTATTGGGAAGTAGAGAATACATCTCCTGTTTTCCTCTGTTTCCACATGTGGCCTTTGCTTTTGTTTATTAAACTGTGCTTATCCTGACCCACATTTTTTTTCCATCTTATTTTCTCCCCTGGCCCTGTCCTGCTGAGAAGGGGAATGACATAGCAGCGTGGTGGGCACCTGGTATTCAGCCAAGGCCCAGCCCACTGCACAGGGCAATAAATCCAACTGTTCAAAAGGAACTGCACCCAGTTCCACAATCTCCAGCATTTTGGAACCAACTAGCTAACTGCTTGGATTACACTCTTGCTGGCAGCTGTGGTGGTTCTGTCTGGCAGAAAGTCCCTGGCTGTGAGCACCACTCATTGTCACTGTTACCTTCACAGTTCTGGAGCATCTGAAGGACCTTCCTCCTGCCATCCTGCTGGTACCTACACCAACTACCAATCACAGCAGTCATCTTTGGCAAGCATTTTTGTCTTGCCCCCACTGGGTACTTATCTCAACCACACTAAAGTCCCAAGATCACAAGCTTCTCAGATGCCAAGAAGCTCTGTAATGTAAAAGGACAAATACCCTCCCAATATGATATATTTTGACAATCAACAGAGTCCTACCACCAGAAGTGAGTTCTACTCCCACCATCTCTCCCTGCCCTCACCTATACACTGAAGACCTCAACCTATCACCACCTCTAACACATGTGAGACCTCTCAAGATCCTTTACTGCTATTTTTCATCTCTGGAAGAAGCTCAGAGGGGGCTGAATCACCAGGGCTAACCCAAAAAGCAAGGAACATGTGGTCAAATTAGTATAGCCAACTTCTTTGAAATGGCAGCCTGACTCTATAGCCTGCTGGGTCAGTGTCTGCTGAGGTGAAACTGCAGCACCATCAGCTGGCTTCCTGTGATCAAAGTCATTCTACTCATTTGGCCAGAGCTACACAGGAATGATGACTTTTCATATTTACTTGAAAGAAATAATCATTCCTACAAACCACAATTTAATGGCTCTTCAGGTATTTGCAGGCTACTACACACCAGCCTTGACACAGGGGATCACAGTGCTCTACAAACCCAAAATCCCACCCTACCCTTCTGTGCAGGCAAACCTAAACAGGCCAGTAACATTTCCACAAGGCTGAGGCACTACAGTGTGTAGAGGAAGAAAGAATGAATGCTTGGAAGTTCAGACAGATTACCTTTCAGTGCAGGAACATAATCTTCCTTGTTCTTTAAGATTTCTTGATAGCTAGCTCTAGCTTTATCATATTGGCCTAGAATCTGCTCAACTGCTGCAGCTTGGCTAACACTGTACAGGAGCTCTGGGTTCAGTTCACTTGCTTTCCTGAAGCACTTCAGAGCTGCTAAGTAGCTCCCTCTGCCCAAGTAAGCCTCCCCCAGAGACTCCCAGGCATTGCAGTCCTTGGGATCACGCCTGACAGCCACCTGCAAACTGAACAGACCAAGATACAAATTTATTCAAATGAAAGGTGGTGTAAGTTAACAAAATCAGCCTGAGGGTAGGGAGGCTCTTCAGAGGGATGTGGTCAGGCTGGATGGACTGAGGCCAATGGGATGATGGTCAATAAGGTCAAGGGGTGGGTCCTGCCCTTGGGTCGCAACTCCCCCCTGCAATGCTCCAGGCTGGGGC